TATATTATTTTTTTTATAAATTGATTAAATAATTCAAATTAATTTAAAAAACAACTTTTGAAAAAGGTTTTTAAGTAAGTTTTCTATCTGTTGGTGAAATGTATAAGTAAGCAATTGTATAAAACAGAATACTCACAGCCTTGTGTCCAGATTCAGCAAGAAACCTTGCTTATCAACCACTGCAAAGAGAAATATGGCAATTAGCATTAACTCATAACATCAGTCAAAAAAAAAAAATGTAGATCCTCTCTTGTTATGCCTTCATCCTGTCAAAATGCATGTCTAGTGCATTTTGAGACAACTAAAGATGTTAATGGTACGTTAACATTCATACAGATCTCATAGTTATGTCAGCATCTAAAGGATTTTAGTGTATGAAAAAGCTGCAGCGATATTAGATCAAAGCAGCCAAAACATTCCAGAGTTCAGCTGTCCACCTATGCAGGCTTCATTAGATCATAGGTGTCTAGGTGTCAATGTAGCTAAGCCTTTAAAAAAAAAAAAGAAGAAGAAGAGAAAAAACATAAGTGTGAGTGGGGGGAAAAAGGAAAAAGCTTAAAAAACCAAAACAGATCGCTATGCATACTTAGGTATGCCTACTTTATTTCTTCAACAGGTTTGACTTAGCATGCTTACGGTGATAGCCAGAGCAGTGCAGCTAAAAACAAACAGACATTTAACAAAAGATCAACAATTTACCAAGCAGAAATAATGGGCTCAGTAAAAGGACTGATGAACAGGTAAATGTGAATCAAAACATGACATTAATTCAGCTGGTACATTCTCATTAGCATCAGCAATGCTTATCATATGGCACTAAGGCATGGAAAGGGAGAGTTCGAGAACTCCACTTATGCTCAAGTCTCCGAACAGATGCTGCAGAATGGAGAGGAGGAACTGGTTAGAAAGTGACCACTGCTGAAACCAAAAGGAACGTTTAGCAGATGCTATTATTCACAGCAACTTGCAGTTGGCCATTCGCTATGACAGACCCTCCAAGTTTGTCTTGCTGAGGGGCACTGCAGCAGTAGAGAAACAGAATCTCAGTAATCCACCACCAGCAAGCAAACTCTTATTAGATACCTGCTGAGGTCAGATCTAAACCCTTTCAGATGGTGACCCAAGTCTTCGTTTACAGTTTCACAGGGATGTAAAGTGGAATTTTGCAGGGGGAAAAAAAACCCCAAGTACTCACAATGGGCCTCATTCATTAAACACAAGCAGAATGATTTTTTTAACTCATTCAAAAAGCTAAAATTTTCAGATTCATGAAAGTATATTTTCAAAATGTTAGTTGGTACAAACACAAAAAAAATTTACACTTGCTCCCAACCACATATAAATGGTGCATAAACCACGAAACATTCTTTTTTTAGGCAAACTGATGACACTGCATTTTGATAAAACTATATGTAATAATATTTCACAAATTAAGTTGCCATATAGTTTATCTGTTAAGATATGAAGGTTAAACTATGGTAAACAGAGTTTAAACTTTGGTTAAATTTGGCTTGCTATCTGCAGTGGAGGAAGTGACTTCATCTCGAGCTCAAATAAAACCCCAGGGTTTACTAGTGCTTGGGAAATAAATATGAATGGCAAGATACTTAAATTATGTTGGTAGAGTTAAAACAGCTGATGTCAGAGCAGCTAATTGAAACAAATGGTTTCACACCTCCCAAAACTGCATTTAGGAATTTAATTAAGTAAAATTAATTAGTTAACAATTAGTTATATGCAAAAAAATAAATAAAAATCACTGATAAACAAAAATAGACAGCAAATAGCATGTTTTCTTTTGATTGCTATTTGTTATGAGCACCAGTAGTGTCCACATGTTTAACTAATCTGAGGTATACAATGTGTTTGTGAATCAGGACGAGAGTTTTTTAGGTTTTCCCATTTTATGTGCAAAATACTTCAAATTTACTCATATATTTACTAAAATTTCATGAATGAGGCCCAATGTCTTTTTGAGGTCTGGTAGGTCTAATATGGTTATGACATTGACAGCCTGCAAATCACTGTGATTTATATGTTGTACAAGTCTTTGTAAAATGAAAGGTGAAAACTCATTATACATTTATAAGCAACACATTATGCCCTAGGCATAAAGACATTCATTCTGAGTTCTGAAGGCTAAGATGTGGTTATTGGTACTGGATTTGTCTCCATGACTGTATATACTTACTAAAATAAAATAGTTATTTTTCATAGGAACATGAGGCAATTTGTCCCTATTAATCACTGTTAGATTTTAATGGATTTACTTAAAATAAAATAAAAAAATACATTAACTATGTAATATTTGAAAAATTAGTTTTCTGTCCGTTTTACCCTGCCCTGCAGTCACAATTTTGTCTTGAAAAAATAAATTTGAAATAATCTGTGTTGTCATATAAAAAAAAAAAAAAAAAAAAAAAGTTTCTCTTGGAGACTTTATCACCATTTCATTGTTTATACTTACACTGTTCAAATTCAACTCCGTTATGGAAAAAAAAAAAATGATGTTGGTAAAAAGCACAGGAATACTGATGGTAAATAAATGGAATTCACTGTCTATGGTAGTTATGGCCCCGATGCTTTGGGCCTGCAAATGTGATATCTTGAAAGTTCAGTAGTAACCTTTTCAAATAAGACGGGGAAAAACAATTTCCTAAAAATGACCCATGTACAGTATCTTTAGACCTTTTCACACCAAGTGTGACATACAACATTTTTTATAGAAACAATTGATTCGGTAACACTTTAGAATAATGGTCCGTTCTTAACAAGTAACTATGCAGGAAGTAATAGGTAGTACCACATTAACATTTAACTTAACACTATTAACTAATAGTACTCACAAGTAAATTAATAAGTTATTTAACATATTTTATATCTGACATACTGTACATTTGTGTGAAGCACTAGTGATATTTTACCAGTAGGCCTTTTGGAGTGGGATACATTGATACTGAACTGACACGAAGCAGAGATCATAATTGTGAACTAATTCAATCATGCGCTTGTCAGCATCACTTCTTAATTATTAACATTTTAAAGTGAATTTTCATTTTTTTATTATTCTATGTTTAAGTTTGAACATCCATCCCTTGGTAAGAGTAGTAGTCACAATTTAAAAATGTAGCCGACTTATTTGGGGGATATCAAATTCATAAATTAGTTTCCACAAAGAACCCAATTGTTCACTTTAAGACGTTACTGTTGTGATTAGTAATTATTTGGTTATTCTTTATTAACTGGTCATAGTTCACAAGTAGTTCTCAATGAGGATATTTTTATTTAATAATTATCAAATATCTAATAACGAACTACCTTTGTCCTAAATTTGCTACTACTTACTGCTTAGTTAATCTCGCTTCATTGATTCTTATGCAGCTGTTCACAGCTTTTGCTGTCAATTTTGTGTTGTGTGTTGAAGATTTTTTGTTTCGCCTGGTTATGAAAGCACACTGACCAAAAAGATCGGAGTAATATTGATTGCATATGCACTACCATTTAAAAGTTTGGGGATGGTAAGGTTTTTTTGTTTTTGTTTTTCCAAGAAGTCTCTTATGCCCACTAAGGCTGCATTTATGCAGCTGTTGTGTGTGTGTGTGTGTGTGTGTGTGTGTAAAACAAACAAAACACTGCAGTTATTGTGCCTAGAAACAATAACTAGAAACTTGTCAGGCATACAGCGGGGCACCATTCTGGTCGGTGTGAGCTTCGCTGTCATTCAGCTCCACCTGTTGTTCTGGCACAAACTCGCTTTATTCTCTTGACAAATATTTGCTGCACTGTCAGTGTAATAAGACTTCATTGGCTTGTTTTTTTTTTTCTTTTCATTTTTTGAGTTGCATTTGGTGTGAAAGGGTCTTTCGTGTGTAATGTATTGAAGGACATTATCTCAGGACTACCAGGCCTGCTGGGGTTCTCATGTTGACCAGAGTGCACTCTTTGCAGTGAGGCTGTACCTGAGCCTACTATTCGTCCCACGGAGACAGGGCCCTCCACCACCGCCTCTGAAACACAAGACCATCAGTTAGGCCCGGTGGTTCTGTGCTTGACAATTTTTTGGAAACTTCAAGGTCACGCTGAATGGCTCTCAGGCCAAACCCTCAAAGCCCAACCTATTCAAACAGTATGAACTAGAAAGCTGCATTAGTTCCAGGAATTACATGAGGTTGAAGAAATATTAGGACGCCCATCACCGTAATTTCCAGCTGATACCTGTGCAGTAAAATTGATTATCCAAAAAAAAAAAAAAAAAGCCCAGATGGATTGAGCGTTAAGGATGTTAGTGCCCACCGGCGAGCCCATTGATTATTTCACCAGTCCCCAATAATTGTCACAAAAGAAGGATTGGTGGAGAGTTTCTACCTTTGGTTATAGTGGTTTTGACAGAAACACTAGTGACTTTACTGACTTTTACTGTGGGCTCCACATCTTTATCTGTGAAACAAAAGAGTTATAAATTAGCAGACCTGCTAAAATACTGTATATGAAATTCAAACAGCATGATAACGAGGGTAAACCTTTTCAACATGTGCAAACCAGAAACACACATCAGCATATAGTGCTTTCAGAAAGTTTTCAGTTTTCATGCCACAGAACGTTTTTCCAAAATGCACAAAACAGATTTACAGACATGTTTTCAGTAATTTGTAAGACCAACTTTGACAATGATGAGAGCAAGACTTCAACATTTAACACTATATCTCCATTGCGCCAAAGCAGCATGTCATCTCACAATATTCATTAACATGGACCAATCATCTGCCCAATTATTAGCCAATTTTACACAATTTTTGTATCGCTACAACTTGCATATACAGCTCAAAGCAAAGATTGAGCTTGATTTCAATTAGAAGGCCAGATAGCAGAAAAATCACAAGCTACAGTAAGTTTCACATAACGGTTTGTAGCAAAATCTTTAATATAGTATTTGTTTAAAAAAATCTGACAAACAAGTAGAACTACTTGAACATTCTGAAAACAGCTTCACTGAATACAGTAACTGAAGTCAAACTCACTCTGTGAGCTGTGAGACCTCCTGGCATACACCTTTCTAAATAAAGCCCAATTTATTTACACTAGTGGAGCTTTATAAGCAGTGTCATGGGATCTTATTTTTAATACATTTTCTAAATGTACAAACGTTATCATACTGCTTATGCATGGCAGTTATGTGTTTAGGCGACTCTACAGCAATCAAACCAACAGAGTGACGTGACGTGACCAAGTATGGTTACCCATACTAGGAATTAGTGCTCTGCGTTTAACCCATCCTAAGTGCACAGTGCACAACAGCAGTGAACACACACACAGAGCAGTGGGCATTTATGCTGCGGCGCCCGGGGAGCAACAGTTGGGGGTTCGGTGCCTTGCTCAAGGGCAAGGCACTGAAGGCGGCAAGGCAAGGTGGTATTGAAGGTGGAAGAGAGCGCTGTACTAAATTTACAAACGTTATCATACTGCTTATGCATGGCAGTTATGTGTTTAGGCGACTCTACAGCAATCAAACCAACAGAGTGACATGACATGTGACCAAGTATGGTTACCCATACTAGGAATTAGTGCTCTGCGTTTAACCCATCCTAAGTGCACACACACACACAGCAGTGAACACACACACAGAGCAGTGGGCATTTATGCTGCGGCGCCCGGGGAGCAACAGTTGGGGGTTCGGTGCCTTGCTCAAGGGCAAGGCACCGAAGGCGGCAAGGCAAGGTGGTATTGAAGGTGGAAGAGAGCGCTGTACATTCACTCCCCCCACCTACAATTCCTGCCGGACCTGAGACTCGAACTCGCAACCTTTGGGTTACAAGTCCGACTCTCTAACCATTAGGAACCCCCAGAGTGCTGGGTTCTTGCCCACTCTTTGCCATTTATCATCAAAATAGGGTTGCGTTTCCTTCCCTCATACCCTTTTCAGAGCCATTTATTGTGATTTGTTTTTACAATGTGTCCTAAGGTGCCTTTCATAACAGGAGTTAGGTTCAAAGAAACCCATCCCAGGTTCACAAAATTTTCCAAAATAAACTGGGTGCGCGCAGCTGTCGAAATGTGCCGTTTATAATTAATCTAACTTTTTCCACAGAGGTTCAAGATACCGAAGTCAGCGAAGGCAAACAGGAATTGAACAAACTGAGAATAACTCGCCTGGTGAACACGAAATAATCTCAGAGACTGTACATGGGGAGGGGAATAAATGAAGAAGCCTGCCAAATCAATTTCCTAAGCTGTGTTTCTGAGGGCCAATAAGAAATCATTAATCAATAAAACTTCAAAATAATTGCAGCAACCAAATAGTTATTTGCTTAATCATTGGTCAGACTCCTTTCCACAAGGAATGAAAACATGTTCTTCTGTCTTATCAAGTAGAACATCAATCATATTTCCAGTATTCACACATTTCGGGCCCCTTTGCATATCAGGAACATAGGGACCGTTCTGACTTGTCTGCACCAGGACCGACCCGTTTTCCAACAGCATGCTAAAGTACTTTAGTGTTAGTGTTGTACATGATAAACATCCTCCTGCTGTGGTGAGTGTGGACTGAAGGCACTTTTCCACTATCTCTTCTGTATGATTGTCTCATTTCGCCCCCTAGTGGCAGTTGCATGAAACTTTCAAATTGGTAGTGAAGCAGATGGTACCCTACACTTAATTAAAATCACCATGGCTAAAGGAATAAATAATAAACGTAAATAATAATGAGAATAATTCAATTTTAAAGAAAAATGTTTTAGTGGAAAAAAATTGGTCATCTCACTTTGATCTTCACAAATTTTATAGATTTGCCTTTTTGCACTCTCAAACTACTTAAATATTATTACACATAATATGAAGTACATGTAAATTTCACAGATAGATAGTAATGTTGTCATTCATTTCGTAGTTGGTTGGTTTGATTCATAGCTTATAACTCAAAATATATATATATATTTTTTTTAAATCCTTGTTGGAAAATTACTTGCAGAACGAAGGTCGGTTCATTTCGTAGTTGGTTGGTTTGATTCATAGCTTATAACTCAAAATATATATATATTTTTTTTTTAAATCCTTGTTGGAAAATTACTTGCAGAACGAAGGTCGCTGAAAAAGTGGTTGGGCACTGTTGCAATGTCTAATAATATCGAATATCTAATTGCAGAACCTGCAAGCTAACGATCACGCATTATACTAGTCTTAAACTTACAGTGATGGTTATCATCTTAGTGTTGTATTTCTAAATGTTATTAATACCAGTGTTGCTAAACAAGGTTTTTAGAAGCAAAACTGCTCATTCATGACTTTTGTCTTTTTAGGACTGAAAGAAAGATTTAGCTTCCTTTGAGAAGTGAGACAACTGTTCACCCATGTGGACATGCCGCATTGTGTGGTCTCCAGTGCCCACTGTGAATCTGACACTGAACTGTATAGTGCTCTCCCTCCCTCTAGTGGCTAAAAAAGGTTGCAGTGAAGTTAAAGTGTAAATGCAAGTATCTTGTTTTGGGATCCACCTAATAAATAAGAGAGCACTGTAATGGAAGAACATAAAAAGACACACCTTTTAACATTAATATCTCTGCAAGCTTTCATTAGACAAGTACAAAGTCTGTGTCTTCGTCTGTGTCTATGTCCCACAGTATGTCTCTACTCTTGATGTCTATAAAGGTAAATAGAACTTGGCACTACTTATTTCCAAAATACAAAAATGCTAAACAAAACATAAAAAATATGCCTACAAGTAGTATAAATGTGACGACAAACGAGGGATTAAAATGTATATCTTCAAATTAATAACACAACATGCAGTACACACTTCATCACATTTTATTACTTTTTCAGACACAGCAACATGTCCTCCTCTTCAGATTATCTGATAGGCCAAAACAATCATTTGGCACAATAAAGGATTTTCTAGATAACAGAATTGGATTCACTCTTGAAACTCATTTCATAAGGCATACTTGTCTCATGTAAAGCTTCATCTAGTCCAGGGCAGCTACATAAACATAGACATGATGTTAAGACTGTGTCTTAAGAACTAGTTTGACCAACTAGTTAGCCAAGAGGTAAACAGTTTTACTTTTCTGATTAAAATTGGGCCAATCTACATTTTCGTAACCGACTTTAAACAGTTATGACCAGTCTAGATGAAAACAAATTAGATGGCTAACTTTTTAAGACTAGTCTAAGCAGTTTATGCAACCGGCCCCAGGGGTGGCAAACTCCGGTCCCAGAGAACCACAGTTCTGCAGACATCAGCTACAACCCTGATAAAACCTCACCTGCCTTTAGCTTTCTAGTAACTTTTAGAACTTGATCAGTTTGTTTAGGTGTGTTTGATTAGGGTTGGAGCAAAACTCGGCAGGATGGGGCTCTCACCCCGATCTTGTCCATCTAGTCCTTAAATATAAATACTTAATATGGTCCAATCCTTACATCTAAATGATTTTTCTGAGATTATAGATCTAATAAAACAACACCCTGCTGGACAACTGCTAATAAAAATGCTTGTTTCTTCCACATGCTTGATTCATTCCCTCAATAAACAGGACAAACTCTGTACCAGGATTTGTACAATACCCAATACAAGTATCAAAGTTCACACACTTCACAGTTGGATTTGATTCAGAAAGTTATGGAGAGATAATCTGAAAGCATCTAAAACTTTGATCAACAATGAATGCGAGACTAGGAGTGCTCCGATTAGGGTTTTTGAGGCCGATCACCGATTACAGAAAGCAGTATCTGCCGATCCGATCACCGATACCGATCTTTTTAAAGCCTTCTTTTTATCATTTATAACTCTTTAAAGTGATACTCCAATCAGGATTTTTAGACATTTATTCAGGGCCTGAATTTCATTTTTGAAAATTCCCCTCTAGGTGACTCTTGTGAGAGGAGAAGCAGCACGGACTGTGCTTTCACACAGGAGCCCGCTACTGATCCATGGCTGTTTACCACAAGCACAACATTTATCCATTATTTTGATTTCAAATTTAAACATTGTCACTGAAAATGCTTTTTCAGCATTGCAATTCTTTTTTTTTTTTTACACAGTACAGTAATACACAGACATGTTTAAACACAATAAATATAAACAACACATTATTCAATGCTTTTTACTTTTGCATTTACTTCTAGATGTATATATTAAGTTGCTCAAGCAAGTGTCAAAACATTTAAACTGCTTTTCTTACGTTATCACAAACTTACCATTGACAGAAATAGTCAGCTCTACTGCCTTTCCTTTTGCATTGAAATCTTTACTACAAGCAATCCTGCAGTTCATAAAGAACTTTGTTTTCCTACCTCCACGAGTGCCATCTATTATTGCCTTGTTTATCGCTTATAGACAGACGCGATGTGGTGATTTGAAGCCATTTGCGTATTTTGAGAAAGAGAGATTGCGCGCGGTGATTCACTCACGCTGTTTGTGAAATTACGTCTCAGACAAGGTTTTCAAATTAC